TTACGAAAAATGAACACGCGTTCTCAACAAACCAAAAAAAATTTGGTATACCTTTGTGCTTCGCTGTGGCCCGTTCCAGCACTGTTGGCCCTTTTCGTACATTTGTTCCGAGTATTTGCGCGGCTCCTTGCCCGTCCAGCCGGTGAATTCGCTGAACGAAAAAGTTGATTTCCGTCTTCAACACTTTATCTACTATAGCCGACGCTTCAAAAAAACCTATTATAACATTCGATTCTAGCCAATTTCCCGCATTTTTCATACCCCAATCTCGTCTCCGAGTGCCCGTGGCGATCCTTTTGCACCGTCTTGTCGAACGGGCACATCTTGTAGGTGTACTGGCCCTCGTCGAGGTCGAAGCACTTTCCTACAAGCAAAAACACGATTAAAGGTTCTTTCGCATTATCGGGGGACGACAATTTTTTATAAGTCCAGAAATGCCTAGTAACTTAATAGAGTATTTTGATAATGATTTTAATTAACAAAACTAAGTTTCAACTAGAACAACTATCTAAAACGAGTCTAAAAGTTTTCAAAAAGTCGACTTTTGGTCAAAAAACGTCAAACTTTAGCCAAAAAACACTTTTTCTGTATTTTTAATAACGATTTGTAGAGTTTTTGCGTTTAGGAATAATAAAAACCGTTTAGAAACACTTCGGCTACTTAAGTTTGAAAAATTGGGTTCTAAGAAACCCCTCCCCCGATAATGCCAAAGAACCAAATCAAATTATGCGCAAAATCCACACCTTTGAGCGAGGCCCAGGCTTGATCCGGCCCGAAATCCTGTTGCAGGAACGACTCGGCATCACTGAAAACACTTTCGATTTTAAAGCTAAAAAAATGTCATACTTTATTTGCCGATCCAAGTCGGACACCTTCGTGTTGACCTCTTGCCAGTCGTCGCGCGCTTTCTCGTATGCTATAAGGCAGGTTTTATCATTAAATTCCTGAAAATTTACCAGCAATCAGCGCCTTGATCTCCTCGGTGTACTCGGGCATCGGCAGGTCGTCCTCGTCGTGGTGGTCGTGATGTTCGTCGTGCTTCTCCTCTTCTAAAAAAACAGTACAACTACAGACATCATTAAATACCCGGCTCCAAGTCGTCGAGGTCATCCTCGTGCGCCAATTCTTCCGGGGCTTGCTTCTCCTCCTTTTGATGGTCCGCCTAAAACGCTCGTTTTTTTATTTAAACGCCAAAAATACTTGATTTCGCATCTGAATCTTGACCAAATCGTAGGTCTGGGTGAAGAATTGCTCCTTGTCGACTTCCTCGGTTGTCAGATAAACCTAAAAAATATAGTCCTCACATTAAAACGATTTAAAAATCACCTTAATCTCCTCCTCATCGACAATGCCATCCCCATTCGTATCGAAAAGCGCGTTTTTGGCAATGTCGTCGCGAGTGAGCCTAAATTTCCGCGAAGTTTTGTTTCAAATGATTCCCCTACTTTCCATCCTGGTTCAGGTCCAACTGGTCGAACACCTGGTCCGAGCGTGCGCGCTTCTTCACATTTTTCTCATCTTGAAAAAAAATATTTTTTAAACCTTAAAAATTCCACTACCTTCCCACTTCTTCCTGAACTCGTCCTTGGCGCTGCGCTCCAGGTCCTCGGCCTCCTTTTTCCTAAACAAAACTTGTTGAACGCGAAGGAAAAGCCGCACTTTTTCTCGAGTTCATCGCGGCTGGGCACCAGCTGCTCGCGCTCCGCACGCAGCGGCTCCACCTTCGCCTCGCTTTCCGTCTTAAAAGAAGAAATGTATATTGTGCTTGCAGAAATCGTAAAGAAAAAAAAGTTTATTGTGCCCGTAATGCTAGTCATTGACAACCGGGTGACCCGGAAGTGTGTATCGACAAACAAAATTGTGAGCAAATTGGGGGAGATACCAAAAATTAATTTAAACGAGACGGTAAAGCTTGAATTGGTTCTTTCGCACTATCGGGGCGGGGGGCTAACTTTTTTCTAAATATCCAGTTTTGCTAACTTAATTAGAGAAAGTCTTTCTAAACTTTTTTTTTCTTATTCCTAAACGTAAAAACTTAAGCAAAAAAAATCGACTTTCTACCAAAAATGACGTTTTTCGATCAAAATCTTACAAGGAGATGGTCTCAGCTGGGAATCGAATTCGGATTTGAAAATTTGCACACTTATAGAGCTCGGCGAGACAAATCGATTGGTGTAACTTTCAGCTGCTGATACGATAACCACGCCGAGTTATAAGGATTATAAGTTTTTGCATACATTTTGCAATATTTTCGCCGTAGCTTCATAGGCCTTCCCCGCCTACCCCATCACCGTGGTCTGGTGGCCTAGTGGTGTAGTAGGCGGGCTCCGGGGAATCCAACGAGGGTTCGAACCCGCTCACGATTTTTATTTTTTGCTTTTTCGTCCGAAGGTTCCTCTTTGCTTTCTGAAGGCCTTGAATAGCTTTTTACGCATTATTTTAAATCCTCTGGTGAGAAATGGCTAAAAAAATCTCTTTGAAAAAAAAAATTAGATTTTTTACCCGAATGGACTATGCAGAACCCAAAATAAATTGAAAATTCAAAGTATATGAAAAATCGAGGAGTAAACGTAATTTATTGTAAATGGTGTGTTATCCGAACAAAAATTTTCATAAGCGAAAATTTTTTTGGGAATGATAGTCATAGGTTGTTGGACAAGGGTTCCATGCCCAGTAAGAAAATTTTTTTTGCGGTGAAGTTATGTTGTCTGCGCATCAGATGAGTTAAAATAATGCGTAAAAAGCTATTCAAGGCCTTCAGAAAGCAAAGAGGAACCTTCGGACGAAAAAGCAAAAAATAAAAATCGTGAGCGGGTTCGAACCCTCGTTGGATTCCCCGGAGCCCGCCTACTACACCACTAGGCCACCAGACCACGGTGATGGGGTAGGCGGGGAAGGCCTATGAAGCTACGGCGAAAATATTGCAAAATGTATGCAAAAACTTATAATCCTTATAACTCGGCGTGGTTATCGTATCAGCAGCTGAAAGTTACACCAATCGATTTGTCTCGCCGAGCTCTATAAGTGTGCAAATTTTCAAATCCGAATTCGATTCCCAGCTGAGACCATCTCCTTGTTAGCCCAAAAAAATTTCCCAGGTTTTTGTGATCGTTTTGACACTAAAAATCTAGTTTAATTATAAATTTGCTAAAAAAACCGTATTAAAAACTTACTGGTACGTTACTTACATTACGTACATTTCTAAACTTCTAGGAAAAAGTTGCCTCCCCCCGATAATACAAAAAACCCAATGATTAAAACTTGGTTTTGAATGCTCGACTTCATCCTCAAAGTCTAGAAAAAATTTTTCGTCAATCTGAGTATGTACAAAAAATAGTCACAAGTTGATAGCCTTAGAGCCACCAAATCAATAGTTGTAAGGCCTATTTTAGTCAAGAAAAAACGGCCTATTTTCGAAATAAAGCTAAAATTTAGCTCTTGTCTAATAGAAATTTACAAAAATATTCCCTGTCTACAGCCCCCAATTTTGGTCAATCTCATCCCGGGACACCCGATGCCCGTGGACATCGAAAAATTGTCTGGTTCCTCTCAGCACCTTCAGATCCTGGCCCTGGCGAGCCATCTCCGACCGGACGGCCCAGCCCTTGCGCGCGATTTCGGCCTGAAATCTGTTTTTCCAGGGTTCGCATTGAAAAGCCCACCCTTCGCTCCGCCTCCTCCCTGGCCGCACGCCCGAGTTCGTTGCAGATGTTCGAGCACTTCACGTTGCTTCCCCATTCGTCGGAACCGTCGCAGCAATCGGAAAAAAATGGAATAGCTTTGAAAAATGATACTTACCACAAATTCCGTCATTGACACGTGAAGCGAAAATGTGGAGCGGCTTGTGCCCGCCGTTCTGGCAGTAAAAGCGGCCGTTCGGGCAAGCGGAAGTTCCTGAAAAATGGCATTTTATAAATTTTGGGTACTGGACTGCTAGCGGGGGAAGACCAAATTCTTTGAGCAATCCTATACGGCCATACACACAAATTTTAAACAATTGTTATAGCTTCTAAACATTCAGATCGAAAGGCCCATCAAAAAATTGTAAAACTTTTCGAGAATTTTTGCCATTTTTAGGGCAAAAATGTATGAAAAATAGCCAAAAAGTTAAATTTTCTAAATTTTTCAAATTCTTAGGTAACTTTCCAGCAATCAAAACTATAAAAACGGCATATATCATCAACAGCAGGCGGAAAAACCATACCCGGCTCATCGCTCCCATCTGGGCAATCACAGTAGTCGTCGTTGACCTGGGTGAACGGGATCTTCAGGCTGCCGTCCAGGCACGCGAATTCTTTGCCGACTTTGTAGAAGGTGGCGACTAAACGTGAGTTTCAGATTCATAAAACAAGTAACGAACCATCAGGGGCGAGGCCGCGGATTTCGGCCTGTGCGGGCACGATCAGCACGCCGATGATCCCGATGAAGAGGGGGATCATCTAAACTTTATAAAGTTAATTATGTAAAAGAATTAAGGTATTAAAGGGGTAAATTTAGAAGAATTATAAGAGTACCAATCCGTGAAACCACTGCACTTCTGCAACGTAGCCACTACATGACACTCCGCGGGGCGCGATATCGCTCCTGTGCGCCGACTGCGAACGGGTTCGATGCTGTGCCCTTTCAAACCAAGCGTTCGCTTATGCTTTTCTATTCTCGAATTTTTTTTTGGTTTATTTTTCAATAAACCTAAAATAAACTTAAAATATATCTATTAGCCTTGGGGAAATCTGCAAATGACGCTCTTTCAGGCGTAGCTTGACTAATTTGATTGTAACTAAAGCCCTGCTTTAAAACACGCTCAAAAACCTATTTCCCGCAAGACAAGGGTGTATTTAGTATAGAAGGCTCGTTTTTGCATCGCTTTATTTCTCTAGGACCTAAAGGCTAGAGCTGGTAGTTGCAGGGCCGTCCCCAAAATCCACGATCAATAAAGATACTTGAAATCTGCAGTTTTCATTGTTTTAATCGATTTCCCGAATCCAATTTTCCAGACCACAATGCCGGCGAAAAACTGGGCCGTCGGCGACAAGCTGATGTCGCACTGGAACGGCGATCTCTGGTACGAGGCCAAGATCGTCAGCATCGAAGAAATCGACGGCGTCAAGCACTACAAGATTCATTTCAAGGTAGGAATACTTTCAAGCTCATAACTATTTTTCAGGGGTGGGGCAACCGCTACGACGAGCTGGTCAGCGAAAAGGAGACGGCCACCAAGTGGAAGGAGTACAGCGAGGAGGCCGCCGGGGAAGCCCTCGAACAACAAAGGATGGCCAAAAACGTCACGAAAAAAGAGAAAGACGTGCGTTTTACAAATTTTGCATTTATTTTAATTGTAATTTTTTTAGCCATCCAAGAAAAGTGAGGGATCGAACAGTCGAGCCTCCACCCCCTCACAAGCGGGCAGCGGGCGGCATTCGGAGAAGGCGGGCAGAAGCACCGGTATTTGCTAACGATTTGCCTTTAAAAATTGGTTTAGGCATTTCCCGTCGATCCGAGAGCCTCGCAGATCAGCCGATGCCCGACGTCGTACACGACCGGCAGAATGTAAGAATTATATTTCTAGTTAAAACCATCTTTTAGATCACCTTCCTCATACCGGACGGTCTTCGAAGAATAATGGTCGACGATTTCGATCGGGTAATCGCCTTTTTTGGAAATTTGTAATCTGTTTTTAGATCGATCGTCAAAACAAATTGCCCACCCTCCCTGCAAAGACGCCGGTCGGCCAGCTGATGAGAGATGTGAGCTTCTTAATTCTTCTCTTAGATTCATATTTTAGTTTGTAAAAACACTTGGCCGGACGCTGAACGAGGACGAGCAGATCGTGATCACCTACGCGGCCAACAACGGCGATGCGCTGCTGAGCACGAAGCGCCAGAACCTGGCCGAGACGGCTGCCGGACTGCTCGCCTTCTTTGACGCGTCGATGGGGTAAATTATTTTTTCTTGGCCATCATACAAATTTTTCAGGGCCCATTTGCTCACGAAATTTGAGCGCAACCACTACAATCAACTTCTCCAGGAGCACGCAACAAAAGCCGCCCCGCCCGCCAAACGACCAAAGATGCGCGGTGCGTTTATTTAATTTTTTTCGGAGAACCTATATTTTTTAATTAAAAAAAAAATAGCCTACGGAAAAAATAAGTGATGCGTTTTACGTTCCATTATCATTTTTTTAGGCGGTGACGCGGCGACGACCAACGCCTTCAAGCCGTCCGAGTTCTACGGCTTCACCCATCTCCTTCGGATATTCGTCACGTTCGGCACGCTGCTCCAGAATGTGCAGTGGAAGGATCGAGCAGTCGCCGTTATTGTTAGGTGCGTTTTTGGAAAATTTCGGATTATATTTTAATTTTAGGGATACGCAAGACATCATCTACTGGCTCGACCAGAACAAGGACCGGTACTACAACGGCGAGGAATATGAGACGCCGCCCCCGGATTATGTTAAGAACGCCTTTTCCTAAAATTTTACTCCCCGCCTTCATTCCTAATTTCTCCCCGAATTTGCCCATCTTTTATACATACGAAGTCCCCGCACATTGATACTCATTTTTTTGTCCATTTTGCACAATCTGAAAGCTTGAATAAATCTCTTGGAATTGTCGAGGTCACAGGCGTTATTTTTTTATTTTGACCATTTATACGTTTTAGGTTTATTGCTGACCGGAAGTGGGGGGAGTTTGAGATGCTGATTGATCCAAGCGCTAATCGTTGAGTTTCTGGGTACCCGTTCGAATCACAGTGCGAAAAAATGGAAGTTTTGGGGCTTCAACAACAGTCGCTGACGCCGTCGTCGATCACTGGCGAGCCGGTGAACAGGAAATAGCCGACGGCTTCACCAATGACCACGGCTAGGATCAGCCACACGTTGAACGTCATCACGATGAGCATCAGCATGTAGGAGAGCACGATCTGGACGCCGTAGAGCAGAGCTTGGGCGATGCGGTAGCGCGTGAAGAGGCGGCGAGTCGTTCTGAGATCGAATTCGGGGCTTTGCTTTGGTAATGGTTTAGAATTTTAGTTTCGTTTTGCAAATATTACATTCCTATTGATGTTTGGGGGCATCTTTTTTTGGGGGCTTTTTCTGGCCTAAGCTTGTCTCTAAGCCTAATTCAAAAAAGTAGATTTGCGATTGTATATCGAAATTTTTGGCATTTTTTACTTGTTGGAAGTGGTCCTACTAAATCTCTGGATGTTGCAGTGTTTAATTGCTTTAGGTTTTTTACTGACCCGCTAAATCGAAGAAGCGGTGAAAACGAAACGGATCTCTCGGAAACATTGTCGGGCGGCGTGCCGGTTGGTGGGCTCGGCCGGTTTAGGCGTTCCTGACGTTCATTTCTAAAGTTTTTTTTTTGCATTTTATTTCACTAAAGGTACTTTTTAAGTCAGTTTCAGTATTCAGCGATAAAATTTTAACTTCACGTCACGTAAAACATAAGTTCTCTTCCATTCAAGTAAAATGTTTGCCATTTTTAAGCTAAAGCCAGGCCCACCTTCTCTCGTTTTCATGCTGAATTGCGATAAAGTAGCGCAGGCCCTTGATCGCCTCGTGGAAAATGCAGAGGAGGAAGATGATGACGACGGAGAGAAGGAGGCCTAAAAAGTCTCGGGTTATTATTCTGTATCACGATGTCCCTTTGTCCTACAACGCTGTAAAGTACAGGAAAATTTTGGTCCTAATCTGAAGAATAAGAACCTATAAAATTTAAGTCACAAAAATAGCTAAAGGTAGTATAATCGGGGTGGAGAAGGTGAGGAAAGAAAAACCATGAAAAACGAACCAGCTGCGGTGCCGGTCTTCCACCACGAGAAGAGGATCTTCTCCCGTTCGCCAAAGTGGAGCCACATCTTCATCATGTCCATCTCATCACTGGTGTTGAGCCGAAGGGCACCCCACGCCCACGCTTCTTCCGCCGAGTCAGCCACGAGTCCTGGAAACACGTTGTTGGCTTGGCCGGCTTTTTGGGCTTCGGGAAGTAGAATTAGGCTTGACTCTTGATTTCTAGGCTTAAATTTAAGGGGTTTTCCGGTTCTTTTATAACAAGGAGCTTTGTTGGCTTGGCCTCATTGGCTTAACTGGTTTGGCTTTGTTTTTGAGCACAGTAACGCTTTTTGCTTCGTTTTCATGATTTACTATTTTATTGGGCGTTTTCTGGCGTTTTTAAGCTTTTGATGCGTTAATTGGCCTCTAGTTTTAGCCCAAGCTTCGCGCGGGCTTACAATTTTTACAAGCTTACCTCCCGGACTTGGTTTGACTGGCTTAGCTTCGTGTGCTTAGCTAGCTTATTGTTAGCTCGGAATAACCCCGAAACAGGTGGGGAATAAAGGAAATGAAGTACTTTTCCGCCCGATTCCCAGGGTCGTTGCAAGATCGATGCCGGCCCGTGATAAGGGGCCGCCTTTTTTGCGTGTCGTGAGTGCCGCGGCAGGCCTTTTCCCCGGGTTTTACAGCCCGCCGATCAGGTGGACCGGCCCGGAATTGTCCGTATCTAACGCCCATATTTCCCGGGCTACGCAGCGCTCCGCCGGATGCCCCGCTGGGCATAGTATTTCCGCGGAATTGGGTAATATTGTGGATTTACGTTTTAGAATTTTTGACGTTTTTCTACGTATCTATTGTACCACATCAAAAGCCTCTGCCCCAGGCGGGATCGAACCCTGACTCTGCGCGCGAGAGGCGAGAAATCAACCATTTAGCCACAGTTGAAGTTCGTCAAATTTTTATAGTATTTTTTGGCAATTAGCCAGGTGATTTGTCGTATTTCGAGGCTTTCCTGTACAGATTTATTCAAGCATACAAAAAGTTGTAATGTATATATACAGCCTGGGTTTTTGGAGGGTACGGTGGGGTTGGAAGTAGAAAGTAGAGAATTAGAGATGAAGAGTGTGTTTTTTTGGAGTTTAATGTACGCTCGAGGGCAGGGATCGAGTCAATTAGGGCGGGAAAGACAACAGGGGGCTCCCAGCTTGGGGGCCACGGTAGCCTGGGGCGGGTTTTAGGAAACGGGCTGGCGCTCGTTTTCCAACAACACCGCACCAACAGGGTGATTACGATATTTTGAGCGCCTTCTAGAGCAATCTTGTCCAGGCCAGGCCTGAGTAATTTCCTAAAAAGTGCGCTCTCCCTGGGGCTACCGTAAGCCGAGAAAAAGCGGAAAATGGAACACTAGACTTCCTGAATTCAACTAGATGGGTTACCAAGTAAAAAAAACGTGAATATAAAATTCAAAAAGTGGTGTCTGACACCAAAAAAAAAATAAAACCGGCCGATTCCGGGGCGCTACGGTTTACAGAAACTGTAAGAGTTGTCTCCCGGAACTCCGGAGCGCTCCAAAGTACAGAATCTGTAAAAATTGTGCCCCGGAATTCCGGCGCGCTACGCGATGCGACAAATGACAGACGGCGGCGGGTGAGGTACAGCAGTGTGTTGTACAAGAACAAAGATACAAAGAAAAAAATCGCGAGCTCGTTGGTGCTCATCTACCAGCGGCCGACCACCTCGAACTCGCTGTCGTCGTCCGAGTCGACGCCGCCCTCGGAGCTGCGCGGCATCGAGTAGGACGAGTCCAGCGACTCGGTCTCGGAATCCACATCCGATTGATCACCTTGGGTCTGAAATCGGCAATTTAAAGGAGTTGTGAAAGCAGGAGGGTATGGAGCTCGCTGCTCTCTCTCTCTCTCTCTCTCTTCTGCTCAAATTTATGAGCTCCCAAAGAACCTCTGCTGAACTGCTCTAAAAATCGTCAAAAACCTTACCACATCAGTGCTGTACAGCTCGAACTCGGACTCGGTGAGCACGGGGGCGCGGAAAACCTCAGATTGGTGGTCCTGGAAAAATAATACAGTTAATGATTGCGAGATAGCGGAAAAGAGATCGAGAGAGAGAGCGACTCACCAAAACATCCTCCTCCTCGTCCTCCTCGACATCGTCGGCCACCTCCTCCACAATGATTTGGGCGGCTTGCGGGGGAACGCTTTCGAAGCTGGTTTCGACGGCCGGCTCCTCGGCTTCATCCTCGGCCTCAGATTCGTAGGTATATTCGTCCTCTTCGGTCTCGTCGTCCTCGGTGGTCTCGTTCTCAGCTGCGTTTTGCTGCTCCTCGCTGGCCTTCTCCTGCTGCGGCTGGTAGTGACGGTATTCCAGGCTTTCGATGACCTGAAAAATGAAGGTAAAAATTTTTTGGTGATCTCTTTTGCTCTCTCGTGCTCACTCTCTCTCTCTCACCTCAACCGGATGCACCTTCTTGGCGACGTTTTGGGCGATGCTGACCAGCGACTGCACGCCGGTGGCCTTCGAGTCGTTGATGCCCCTCTGAATCTCGATCTGTGCCTCCTGGATGCGGAACTGCGCCAGGATGGCCTCCATGGCGGCGAGGGCGTCGCGGGCGTCGCGCGCGCTGCGCTCCTCTTCGTCGCCCTCGAGGCTGGTGTCGATGAGCATGTGCTGAAAAAGAGCATGTGTTACTCCTCAAGGATCTCTGCTATATATGCCTAAGCCATGCTTAGCCTAAGCCTAAGCTTAAGTCAAAGGCTCACCTCATTGATGGCGCGGTCAATGATGGCGTTGACCTCCTCGTCAACGGGCTCTACTGGCTTGACAACAACTGCAGCAGGCTTGACCGCTTCAATTTTGGCAGCTTCCGGCTTGGCTTCCGGCTTGGCTTCTGACTTCACGTCCGGCTTGGCGATGGGGGCCGGCATGGGGACGACGGTGGTCGTGGTGACCACCTGCGGCCTACGGCGGTTGTGAACGAAACGATGGGGCGCGATAGCGTATTCGGCCAGTGAGTAGGCCGTGCGCTTCGTCGGGTTGACCGGCTCGGGCTCGGGCTCAGAACTCGGTCGGCTGTGGTGACGAATGACGCTCAGGATCTCTTCTTGAGATCTTGGCGACAAGGCGTCCCATGACGCCTGCTAAAACGATAGCTTTAAACGGTAGCGCACTTCTAAATATCAACAAGTTCTTTCTAGACCTTTTGGTGCTGGACTGTTAGCGGGGGGGGGGGAAACCAAATTTTTCCCTGTGTTTCCCTAAGGCTCCATAACAAAATACGATGCATTTTTATCGCGTTTTATATATTTTTGGATCTAAAATCATTACAAAAATAACAAATAGTTGCGAAAATGTGGACATTTTGGCCAAAAAATGTATGAAAAAGCACCAAAACAGGCCAAAATTTTCGAATTTTTAATATATAAAATTTTTTTATTACTTTCTAGAAATTAAAAACTATTAACATTATTTAATCAGCATTCCTAATAGTCCAGAACAGCCTTTTTCACTATTTTTGACGATTTTCACGAGTTCCTCACCTCTTCCGCCCTCTTCTTCTCTTCCGGCGTCTGCTCGGCCACCTCGATCTTGAGCTGCTTCATCTCGAGCAGCTCGATCATCTTCTCTTCCGGCGAAATTTCCTCCTTGGCCGGCGAGGAGTTGGGCGGGATCTGAAGCCGAAAATGGGCATATCAAAGGGAAATCCAAGGTCAAGCCAAAGCCTAAGCCTAAGCCGAAGCCCAGACCTAAGCCAAAAGCTAAGCCTAAAAGCCTACCTGGTCTTTCGTGAAGGGGCGCACGCGGGCGCAGCTCGTCTCCGGCTGGGTGACGATGTTCATCTGCTGCCCCGGCTTCATCTACATAGAAAAATTAGTTAACCAGCCCTTATTGTAATAAATTGTATAAAAATCGGGTGTAATTACGTACATTAGCGTAGGCGAGCAGATGGATGTACGGCGAGATCACCTGCCCGTCCGCGTTCTCCATCACGTACGAGACGAAGAAATTCTGGAATTTGGATTTTTCGGGGTTTATTTTGTAGTTTGGGCTATTTATCGGGTTTTTAGAGCATTAATTTTACATAATTTCAAGAATTAATTCGTCACTTTAATTAAAAAACTCGCACTGACCTCGTAGCGCTCCATCGGCACGCGCATCCCGATGCGAATCTTGCACATCTCGTTCGGCTCAAACTCGATGGCACGGTCGCCCATCGTGTCGCGGACGCCGTTTGACTTGCGGAACAGACGAAGCTGAAAAAAACGGCGTAGTAACCAAGCTTCGTGATCCTAAGCCTAAGCCTAAGCCTAAGCCTATGCCCAAGCCTATGCCCAAGCAAAGCCTACTCCAGCAAATATTCACCTTAATATTCGCCAGCTCCTCGTTTGACAAATTGACCATGCGGAACGACTTCGAGAACGTCTCCATCTTTGTGTCATTTTCATCGTTGGGGGCCGGGGCGATCTAGAAGCATATAAATTACGATATTACCACCAGGATTATTTAAATCGGGGGGATTTTGGTGAATAAACCTACTTTTGAGCGGCACTCCTTGACGATACCAATTCGAATCTCGCCCAGCTGCTCGGAGATCGACTTCGATTGCTGCTGTTGTTGCTGCTCGGTGTTGGCGCTCATCTCGACGACCAGGGCGGCAGCTAAAGATGGGACGGAAATTAGCATAAAATTATGAAACTCTAAATAGTTGAAAAGGTAGCTAGATGATTAAAATTCAATATAAATTTAAAAAATTGAAATTTGCGATCGGCCTAAATGACCATAAATACCTCATTTAAAAATTAGAGCCTGGAAAAACTAAAACACTCGTTTGCTCTGATATGCAAATTGGTTGGAATACGCCAAAACTTAAAATCAGACCTGAAAATCCAAGACAAAGTGCCGAAAATCGCAGAAAAATGCTAATCAAATTATGCAAATTAGAGTTATCCAAGAAATAAAGGTAAAAGAAAATTATGAAAATGCAAATGAGGCGAAATCAGGTGGGGGGATCTGATCGATCGGTTGACCCGGCCCCTTGAGGGTCGAATGCAGGGAGTCGGTCACCTGCGTATGCCTATCTGCCCCCGGGGCCGTCACCGCGTATTTACGCGGAATATGGCCTCGGGGCAATCAGGGCGACTCGGAATACTTTTGCCTATCTGCCACCCGACTTTTCGAAGCAAATTTGCATCTCAAAAGTATCGATCTGGCACTTATGCATTAAAGGGGGTGATAAGCAGCTAAGATTTAAATTTTTACAGGTAAAAAATCGGAAAGACTCCTCAAGGACTCTGCCAGCCTGCTTCCGCAAAGATCTGTGCTAGCACGCCCCTCCCGGAAAACTCACCCTTCTCGCGCTCGGCGGCCTGTTCAGCTTCTTTGCGGCGCTCGAGGCGTACACGCTTTAGGATGCCGTTTGTGTAGCAGCCGGTCTCCCTGAGAAATTTGGTTTTGAGGAGAGAGAGAGAGAGAGAGAGAGAGAGGGAGGGGGGGGGGGGGGGGGGGGGGGGAAGGGGGGGGGGGGAGCGAGAGAGACGTACCGCTTCTTGACGACAAGTCCCCGGGTGTGGAACGGCTTCTTTAGACGTTCCAAGACGACGGCGGGGAGGGGCTCCTTGACGGGGCTCATCTGCTTGGTCCACGGCCAGATCTAAAAGCGGAAATTCCGTTTTTAAAGGGCTGGGATGGGAGAAAACGGAGGCCCTGGGAAAAATTGCGGTTTATATTCCATCAACAAAGGGCCCCTTTTGAATCAAAAAAAAGAAAGGAGGGTTTAGGTGTTTTTTGGGGGGGGGGAGTCAAACCAAAGGGGGGGGGGGGGGAGGGAAAAATTAGAGTTATTACGAATTGGGGGCAACTCACATCAGAGCAAATGCCGGCGCAAGTGGCGACATCGCTCGTCTGAACGGCTTCATGTCGCTTCCACTCGTTCCCATTGACGGACAGCGTCTCTGAGTGCACCATCGTTAGGCGCGTCGTTTTCTTTGGCGGCCCGATGGGCGAGGGCAGCTTCTTCAACTGCTGAATTTCCTGAAAAACGCAGATTTTCAGCAAAATTGCGTCCAAAAATTCCTGAGTAATCCCGGCTAGTCTGCCCTTTCCTAAACAATCTCTGCTAGCCTGCCCCCTCCTAAAAAATCTTGGCTAGCCTCACCATCAACGATTCCTTGGCCTCGTTCTGGAATCTGGTCCACTCGGCGTTGAGCGGCATCTCAAATGGCTGGGGAGGGGACATTTCGGGTAGAGTTGGAGACGAGGATACGGTCGTGGCAGGGCTGCTGCTCGGCTGCCGGTAGCTGTCCAAGATTCTCTGCTGATTGGCGAGAGTTCTGCAAGAACTTCGAAATTATTTTTTAAGCTTGCTCCGACATTGTTGAGCCTAAGTCTAAGCCAAGCCTAAGCCTAAGCCTGAGCCTAAGCCAAGCAAATACTGACCTCTCGGCGGCCTCCTTCACATTTTCCTGCTTCAGCTCGAGGCGTCTGAGCAGGTCCATAAAACGTTCTTGCGTGTTGTCCGGTTCCGGAAAGTCGAAGGGCTGCAAAAGGAGCGTTTAAAGGGACCAGGAAGCCAAAAACATCATACCAAAAACCCGAAACTACAAAATGAAATATTGGAATCCCTTGTCCAGTAATTTTAACCTTTACGAGATTTTTTAAAAGAGAAAATGGCCTGACTTTCCGGTTAATTAAACTTGTTGTTTTTACCGAGAGTGCACGATCGCCGGCCCAGTTGCGGATCTCCAGCGCTCGGTTGAGGGGCGCGATGGAGGTGGTGATGCTCAGGGTGCGGCTGGGCTGCTTCTTCAGCCAGTAGAGGAGTTCCTAAAAATTGAATAAAGTCTCTAGCAGAGATCATTGAGGGCAGATTATTGCGGTAATAGCAGAGATTCTTTAGGAAAGGGCAGACTAGCAGAGAGATCTTTAGGAAATGGCAGGCCAGCAAAGCTATACCTTTAAATAACTAAAAACTCACAAAATACTGCCGTGGGCTGCTCGAGTTGGTGGTGATGCAGTCGGCCTCCTCGTCGGTGTAGGTGAAGTCAAAATGGCGTTGGGGCATCCTAGAAAATGGGATTTTACAAATTTCTATCGTAATCTGAGGCTCTAAGGATATTGTGGCAGATTACTGTAGCCTCGAAAATACTGTAAAAAACCAACTTTTCGGCAACCCTAGCTCGAAGCCACTCGGCGCACTTGGAGAGGTCGCCGGCCGACATTTTGGAGACGTCTGGAATCCAAGGATAGAGAGGCAGAGAGAAGGAGAGAGAGAGAGAGAGAGAGAGAGAGAAAGAGAGCGAGAGGGTGAGAGAAACCTACCATAAACGCAGATACGCAAAAATTCGGCGTCGTTATGGTTGAAGGAGAGCGTCATCTTGTCCTTGACATTCACCGGCTGATGCTGGGCCCACATATCGGCCAGCGTCACCATGGTGCAATCCGGGGGTAGAGATCAGTTGGAGGGGAGAAGGCAGCGGATTTGACTACCCTAAAATGATAAAAATAGCGAAGAGCGAGAGAGAGAGAGAGAGAGAGCGAGAGAGAGCAAGTGAGAGACTCCTAATTACTGGAGCCCGGCTGGCAAGGTCAAAAATTGCCCCCGGCATCATTGGCTTGCCCAGGCTGTCTTGAAGCTGCCAGAAGTCAGGCAGTGCTAATAACTAGTTCCAAGGAGCTGAAAAGTGCCCAAAAACGCCAAAATTCCCCCACAAACAACGATTAGCAGTAAACACTTGAAGCGGCAACATCCCAAGGCTAAGCCCAAGCCTAAGTTTAAGCCTAAGCCTACATTCCCTTCTTACTTTCTGCTACCTAAAATTCCTCCCTCCACGTGTAAGCCGCCCGCCTTGCCAAGGCCATTGATCCGAAAACCGATCGCCTGGCCCGGCAGAGTGTTCCGGGCCGCCACTATTTACGTTTGCCAGGATTCCGTACAGGAGCGAGAGGGAGAGAGAAAAAGAGAGAAATAGAGAGAGAGAGAGAGAGAGAGAGAGAGAGAAGAGAGAGTGAGAGAGAGTGAGGGAGCGCGAAGAGAGAGGGAGAGAGAACGAGATAAGGAAAAGCCGCTTAATCGGTGTTCCTGGTAAGCCGTTGCTAGGTGCGTTACGCCGCGATGCTAATTACGATACGGGTGTCGAGCTGCACGGGGCAAGCAATTTTATTGTTACGGTAGAGAACAACAAATGACTTTGACCAATTGTCTCCTGTTTCCCAAAGAATCTCTGCTAGCTCGCCGGAACTTAGTAATTGCTTAAAAGGATATCTGTTAGGCTGCCCTTGCCGAATCTCGATTAGATGGCCCTATCACTAAAATTCCTCAAAGAATCAGTGTTAGCCAACGCTTAGCCTTGCAGCTCCTAAGAGGATCTCTGCTAGCCTGCCCTTACCTTCCAATTCCTCAGAAACCTATCTTAGTCTTCCACTAGCCGCAAAATCCCCAAAGGCCTTTGCTAGCCTCATCAGGACCTCTCCAAATTCCACAAAAATCTTTGCTAGTCATCACCCAACCCCTGGGATTCCTCAAAGAATTTCTGCTAGTCTGTTGTTGATAGCTAGCTACATGATAATCTAAATCAGAAGCCAAAATCAGAATATCGGAAAACCAGTCAGAGCCCACTAGCGGTCTAATGTTGGTCGACTACTACTCGGCAATCGGGTCAGTCAGGAGTGGGGGTCGAGAGAGAGACCACCCCAGCGAATAGAGAAAAGGACCACCTAATAGAGTACAGTGACGAGTGATACAGTAGCCGAGATTGAGGGGAAACAAATAGCCACGATAGCCGTTTGCACCGTCCACCAGTAGGAAAGAGATGCAAGGGGGGTGGTGGCCGGTCGATGGTGTGTACTCAAGCCAGTCAGCTGAGCACCGAGAGAGCACGGCTGGCAGAGAGCGCGCAGACACGCGCTCCCGGCGATCGATGGCCCACCGCTATGCATAGCATAGCAAAGTGAGAGGAGCACTTCCACACTCCACACGACAGCCGCATCCGACTCCCCCCGCTCAGCTGTCAGCCGGTGCAACATGCCAACCGAGGTGCATCGCCCCCGGTGGCGATGGCGCTAGTGAAAGTGAGGGGAAAGTAAGGACTGATTAGCCGGCAGAAATAGTTGCAAGATAAAGTCTAGGTGCGAAACTGGGAAATTATGAAAATCTAGTCTCAATCTATCCGTTAAAATCGAATGTAATGCCCATGGTATCGCTAGTGACAATGAGGGGAACTGTAGGGCTGTAGTCTCCAGGGGGGAAGTAGCAAGCGGAAAACAAATTAGAAACGCCAACCCCAACGTATCCAAAATCTTCTGTGAAACATTCCCTGCAATTTTCCATCCCACAAATTCGTGAACATTTACTACACGTTAAAACATGAGACCAAAATTCCAGAACGACAACAACGAATCAAAATTAAACAATGAACAACATAAATAAAAGAAGGAGAAACCGGCCAATGAGGGGACCAGGAGGATCACGGAGACAAACAAAGAAACAATCTGGGCACGCGGTGGGGTTCAGTTGTAAATGTCCTCGCGATCGGCGGCTCCGATGCCGAGCGGGTCGTCGAACGCCTTGAAGTTGCGGAAGTGGACCGGGCGATGGGCCTCGTGGTAGAACTCCTTGGGCTGCGCCAGGCACAGGTCGTACTTCATCGACGCCTCGAAGCGGACACCTGAAAATCAAGAATTAAGATAAGAATAATTAGATTATATGAGGCGAAAAAGTGTTATATTCAACGAGGCTCACCTTGGAAATTGTAGTTCCAGACGCCGGTTGACGGCACCATGAAGAAGCCGAGGAAGCGATCCGAGAGCAACATCTAAATTATTAAAAGCCGAGAGAAACTTCATACCTGCACTTTCTCATAGTGAGAGGGTAGATAGCCCTTCGGGTTGAGGCCCTTGTCCGTGTTCATCTTGCCCCATTCGTAGCCGGACGGCGTCAACTTGTACGACGTCAGGGAGACGGAGCCGGGCGTGAACGAGCATGTGATGACGATCGTCTTCTCGCCATCCCACACCGGGTTCTCGGTCAGCACGCGGGCGTGCAGCGAGACGTCTTGGGGAGATAGTTGGGGCAACTCGTTGGGCTGCGTGTGCATCCTGAAAAAAAAATTTCATTTGTGATCAATTTTACAAACCATCCAAGTGGTTCCAGATCAGCGAGCAGCTCATGCCGGGGCAGCGTGTTGGGCAGGGAGACGACTTGATGCGTACCGGTCTGCGGCGTCAGCACAATGCAGCGAATCTCCTTGACTTGCGGGTTGTCCGGTGGGGAGACGCCGTACAGGAAGCCGGCAATCTAAAAATCAGAGCGTAGTCAGTGCGAAAGACCAGCTCATACCTGGGTGCGGAGATCGGAGATCGTGATGAACTTCTTCAGAATGTTCTTGGGCAGAATGTAGGTGTACCCGGTGTCCTTCACATCGTCCGAGTTGACGTAAATGTGCTAAATGGATTTCTGATGAAAACTAGGCGAAATTTACCTGGGTTCGCAGGTGAAGGTTCGTCGAAGAAATCGCCCGAACGCGCCATTCTGTCCTTGAGGCAAAGGTGGCCGTCTCGTAGTTTGAGGTGGTCGACGTGATGATCTCGTCGCCGTGCTTGTTCACAGTGCGCGTCGTCGTGGCGGTGACTTGACTCTGCTCCTTTGTCTGCTTCTCGATGTCGGCGATTTGCTGACGCTGTTGCGACGGCGCCGAGATCTCCATACCGAGGATGATGTCACGGACCTGAATAAGCATAACGTACCCCGAATAAAGATAGTTACCTCAGATTGGGTGAGCGACGCCACATTCACGTTGTTCTTCTTTCCGTAGTCGGCCAGGATCATGTCCTTGAGCGCCAACTCGACCTTGATCCATTCCTCGTCGGTCAGGCTAGGCCAAATGTGATGCGGCTCGGTGGTGGTCGTCTTGTCCGGCTTCAGGATCACCTTCGACTTGTCCGGATTGATGTGCATGCCTCGCATGATCAGGATCACACGAGAGAACGCCGTGTAGGAGGAGATCGTCTTCAGCCAGTCATCGTACAAATTGAACAGCACCATCTGAGGCTCGGTCGCCTTCAGGATGAGATCACCGAATTTCTCGACCTAAAAAACTTTTCGAAAAATCTGTTATAAAGTACCTTCATGATGGCCTGGAAAGGCAGCATCAGCTCGGAGCCCTTGATGACGATGTTGGGGAAGTCGAGCAAGTGAACTTCGAGCGGATCCAACATCGCCTTTCTTGTGACGATGATCTGTCGTGGTTGTTCTTCCACGGGCAGCGAACGGATCAGAGCGGCGACTTCTTCGGCAGTTTTCCACTTGGCCAACTAAATCAAGAAGGTTTGTTGATGTGAATAGGACAGTAAAAAACCTGGGAGAGACGTTTCTGGCCGGCCCAGACGGAGGTGTGGATGATCTTCAAGAACAGCTGCCCTGTGCGAGGATTGAAGATGAAGATGGCGCCGTTGATGGGCTTCGTCGTCAAATTGCCTTCGAAGGTCTTGTGAATCGTCACGCGGTAGACGTTGGTGTCATCGACGAACCTAAAAAAACAGTTGAGAATGGTTCTCAAGATGGAAAAATAGTATGTAAGCAACGAACCAAATAATTTGGTTGCTGAACAGCTCGCCGTAGTTCTGCGACGTCAAATAGGGCTCGGTGGGCTCGGAAGAGTAGAGCTGCAGACCCTTGCGGATACGTTCACGCAACACGTAAAAGGCCGGATTGGCCTTGATGATCTTGGCCATGGCTTGTCGAATCAGCGGCTTCATTCCCGGGAACCAGTTGCCGTACGCAGAGTACAAGTTGTAGGCAAGGTCGATGGCGATGAGCACACCAGTCGGCGACGGATAGATGGACATGTTGTCGGTGGTGTAGTCGAGGAATTTCGCACGAGCATATCTAGAAAAAATATATAAACAAAGCAGTAACTAATACCTTTCGATGTCGTGAGAATCGTAGTCGCCCCAACGCAGCTGGACATCAAGCCAATATTTCTGCGTGGTCGTGTTGTCCATAATGTCCTTGCTATCGGGCAGCAGCGACGGTCGGCTTACGGGCCACTTGTACTGGGCGAACAG